TATTTTAGCTCTGTCTTTAAGGAGTTAATTGGGACAGTGCTTAGCTATGAAGCATGATATAAAGGGCTGCACCGGAATGAACTGTTGCAGAACAGATCTTCCCTTCTCTCATACTAGAAAGCCTTCCAATGATACTACTTGCCTCACCTTGCCAAACAAGGCTACTGATGAGACTGGGGAATACATGATCTCACTCTAGATGCAACTTATGAAGAAAATAACACTCTCAGATGGAGCCGCGACCACACATGAACAATCTTTAGCAAGCATTATGATTAGGTTGCTCTTCAACATAAATACACAGAGTGCCAAAAAACAAACAATACACAGTGCGGCCCACTTTTCAATACATACCTACTCAAGGGAGGAACGCCACAAAAGAATTATACAAGAAAAAGCTTCCTGTGTTCTGGAAGGAAAGTTACAGTAACAACTTGGCCTGCTGAAAGGAAGGGACTTGTGGAAAGGGATAAGGGCTGTATGTACAGAGCTTGTGCTTGACTGGTTCCTAGAACGTACCACGGTCTTTACAAGGCAGAGATCAAGAAACAAAAGATAAGACATAAATGAATAAACAATCTTATACAGGGGACCCTGGTCTGGGGGCTGCAGAGCACTTCCAAGGGGAACTTCCATCACAACAACAAAATCTCCAAGCAGTGATGCTTCCTGTTAGTCTATAGGTTTGATTCACGCGGCTTGGGCAGGCAAGTACCAATCACACTTCCCTGTACCAGTGAGACACTCTGTATAGGCAGAGGGAGGGAAGGGCATGTCCTCCACCATGGCAGGGAGCATTAATTTCTGCCAGGTGCACCACAGGAGCCAGTTGGCAGAGGCTGCATAGGGATGTGCTAGAAGTGAACCAGTGCATCACCTAACCATGCATCTTCTCTGGCCAATGCCACCCACTTTTGGGGCAATGGTGGCCTGCTACAAGCACCTTGCCAAAGGCGTGGCAGCGACTTGCATTGCTGCAAACCCTCTCCTTGTAGACTTGTGCTTGAGCGGAGCAAAGGGTGCCTTTAAAATATGATGTAATATTTTATCTGGTATTGTATGAACTGAGAGTGTATTTGTGTTCATTTCCATACATTTAAATCCTCTTTTCAGTGGAAATAAATAGTAACAACCTTAAAGCTAACACACTTGGTTGTCAATTTCACTTAAACAATTTTTTAAAACTAAACTATGGGGCTTAGGAGCTCTCTCTCTCTTTCATACCCATCCACCCTGCCTCACAAAGTGGAAGTTCACTAACTGGCAGTGTTCCTGGTTTCCCACCAGCAGACTCTCTCGTGCAGAACTCTAAAGCTCTACAAGATTCTGAGCTTTCCAAAGATTCTATTTGTTGTTCTGTATAGGTTGTTATAGCACCTTCATCACCAGAGTATCTGAGCACCATCAAGTAGTGCATGAAATGATGAGACTAACCTCTGTCACATGTGGTTTGTTCTCTCTCTCTCATCCTCTCCCCAGGGGGAGGGCTGTATATGCAGTGTCTTTTGTTTTGGTAGGGTTTTGTTTTTTAAATGTGCACACTGCTCTGTGTTTATGTTACAGAAAGCAGATTGAAGAAATGCGCTCTGCATTTGAAGCAGAAGGTGGTGAGGACAGGTTCTTAAGTTCCTGGGGGGAATCACTGCACAGTTTTGGACCAACCCCTGAGAAACCTCAGTCTCCTCCACAGACTAGATAACCAGTGCTGTGGGACTCAGGCGCTCCACTGGTTCTCCACCTCCTCTTGCCTCTTCTAGCTCTACAGAGATCTCTCTCTCTCTCTCTCTCTCTCTCATATCTTGCATACCCTTTGGCATTTAGGAGCCTTCTGCTGGGCTCCTGTTTCACCTTGCCTTGCATAGACCAGTGATACTCAGACTGAGGCTTGCAAGCCGCAAGTGGCTCTCTAATGTGTCTTCCGTGGCTCTTTTTCTCAGCACATATTATAACACTGTGTGATTTAATTATTAACCAATCTAAGTTATTAACCAATGAGGATGCTTTTACTATGTTATTAAATCAATTGTAGTTGATAAAATAATAATACTTGGTCAGGCATTTTGCTGTGAGAATAATATAAACTAAATATTTCCCGTCATACTGTTTAAATATAACAATGAATTCATCCTACTGTGGCTCTTTTGGGTAATACTGATTGCTAATTTGGCTCCTGTACCACTGAGATCTGAGTATCACTGGCATAGACTTTAGAAAGCACATCAAGCCATGTTGACTTTATAAAGTACTTGTTGCTGTACTACACAATTAAGGTTGATTTTTTTTTAATAAGACTTCTGCTTTTAATTAAACTATGCCCTACATGTTAACAGCATATAAAGACATGTAAAGTTTGTAGTTTTTTAATTAAGTTATATTTATGGCTAGAGGGATTCCCCTCTCTCCACAATTAGGCATTTTAAATAATATTTTAAAAAGTTACTTTTAGGCTCAGATAACTTACAGATGTTTTGACACCAATTCCCTTAACCCTTTCCAAACAAATTCTAGTGTACCCTGAAGCATTCACAAAAGTACATTCCCTGATCTTAGTTTTAATGGGAGTGAATACAGATTTGTAATGAAACCCTAATAGCAATCTTCATTGTGGAGTCGTACATGAGTGGCCTCAGACTCAATGTTATTTTTAACAATTTGTAACCCAAAAATAGCTTGACCCACTGTCTTCATGGTTTGCAAGAGAAAACCACACATACACAAAAGAGGGTGCCATTTTGCAATGAATCTGCTGGTACACCCATACATAAGTACCTGGATAACTCACACGAACCTGCACAGCAGAAACTAGAACTCTGATCCTTCAGCTTCAAAAACACAGATACCTACCAACTGAGCAAAGGTAAAACCCCTGCCAAAGTCAACATTTCAGATCAGGGTAATTTGTTAATGACCTGTATAAACCACAGAAAAAGTCCACTCACACTTCAATATTAACAGAAAAATTTTTCTAAGTTTTCAGCATCCATCTGGCATTTTTCAGATCAGATCCTAGCTTTCCTGCCAAAGTTATAATAGAACTAAAATTAGGATTTACTGTGGAATAGGGTGAAAACCTTAATCATCAAGGTGCTTTCATACCTTCCTAATTAAATTGCCTCGTGCAGAGAAAAAGTTTGTATGTTACACAAATAACTGCATCAATGTGTTTTAAATGCAACAGTGGCATTCAGTGGCCAGATCTCTCTGTTAATTAGAGAGGTGTTTCCCATGGAAATGAGATATATATATATATCCAGAGGAATTCTCCATTCCTAGGGGAAATTACCTGTGGATTCCAAAGTACGAATGGAGCTCTCCAAATGGCTGGCTACCTGTGTTGTTCATACCACGTGTTCGTAATTCTCAACATAATGCACTGGTATGACCTTTTGGAAGACGAGGTACTAAACAATTTTCCATTTCATAACAGCAATGAAATACAAGAGGCACCATAGGTAGATAAGTCACAGCTGATGAAATCTTAAAATAATAATAATCATAATCAGTAAGTGTGGCTGTAACCAGGAAAGGACCCTTCTAAACAATGACATCTTCTTTTCAACTATTGGACAGTGTGTCCTTGTGTGTGTACACAGTATGGAGAAGGGCGCAAAGAGCTTTCCCCTGCATTTGCACAGCCTACAGAATGGCCAGTTACAAAAGCAATCCCTGCACTCCTGGCCTGCTTCTGCACTGCATCTCCAAGAGAACACATCACCCCAAGGGGAGCACAGAGAAAGAGGGACTGTGGTCTTGCTCTCTCTTCTCATCAGCCTCCAAGGAGGACTGGAGGCACTGAATCTCATCCCCACTCATTACTCCAGCCAACCTGGGGTGGGGACTGAGACCGGGGTGAGTGTAACCTTTGCACGGTCCTTTACTCAGGGCTATGCTTTAAAATGCACACTCTAGTCCTTAGTGTGTGCACTCACAACCACTCACTTTACTGGTAAGATACATTTCTAGTACTTTTATCCATTAGCTTTGCTGCTTCTGCGGGTTGTGGGAAAGCAAGAAGGGACCCAGACCTCCTGCAACTGGATAAAATAGCTCCCCCCAAATCAATGGGACCCACTCGTATCCTCTGGAAGGACAGTAGGGCCGCTGAAGTCTATTCTGGCTCATACAATAAAGAGATAAGATCAATGCATTATTCAGCAGAACTGTTCATTAAAGTTCCGACTGCGGAATCTTTATTACTGGTGATGATGCATGAGTCACGGGGAAGAACGTCGCTTGACAGTCACCTCCCAGGTTGAGTTTGAGCCTGGCAATAAAGAAGGTGAGGAAGAATAATATTTTTACCTGTAAGCTGAGTAATCTAGATATGGACACACTGGGAGATAAACAATGTTTGGGCCCCTGTAGGTGTTCAGTTTGATAAGCAGGTCACGTTCAGCTATAAATTTTCCTTTCCCAGAGTCCACTAGTAAATCTTTTAACAAAAACAAGTCGCTGTCCTCAGAGAATGACAGGAAAGCTTTGTCCGGAAAAGGCCACATCTTACCGTACTGTATAGGGCTCATGTCGACAAGAACGGTTAACAAACAATTGTCTATTTTAGAAAGCTAAGTTAAGATCAGGAGCCTTTAACTGAATTATCGGAGTCACATCAAACCGCGCAGGTTTTGCCATTTATGGAAGAAACCATTTTCTATCTAAAGATGTAATAGCTATCTATCTCTTACACAACCACGATGTTTTCCACTCAAATTGTTAGGGTGTGTGTGTGTGTGTGTGTGTGTGTGTGTGTGTGTGTGTGTGTGTG